CCTTAAAGACACATATAATCTCCATAATTAACTTTTCCCTTATTTCTCTTCACATATGTTTTGTAAATCATTAAATACTCATTTTGTTACATTTATTTATTGACAAGCATTCCACTGAATTATGATAGCTATTTTATCAAACATTCTAATCATACATTGTTTCATATTTTCTAAAATTATTTCTGTTTCTAATATAACATTACTATCTTATGTACCTTTGCAGAATCCCTTTTTCCATTAAATTTTCACCCATTATCTCTAAATAGGCCCTGTTTCTCTATATTTTGTTTCTGTCCTTTATAACTTCTTTTCCTTTCTTTCTTCCCTCTCATCTTCTTCCTCCCCTTTTTACCCCCTTGTCTCTCTACTTCTAATTTTCTCTTCCTCATTTCCCTCTTCTGTTGCTTTCTGATTTTATACTTATTTTTCACTCTTTTTTTTTTTTTGGAGTTGTTTTCCCCAATCTTAAACTTTCCATTCTCTTTCCCCACTTTCCTTTTTTTCTCCACCTAAGATTACTTGTTCATTAAAGATGGCTTCTTCTTTGTTGCAATCTTCTTGTTCTGCAGGCATTTCTTGTTGTTTCTCATAATTCCAAATCTCCATTTCTAAAACTGAAATATGAAGCCAAAAGAACCTCTCCCTTTTTGTGCATCTTCTTTGTACTTTTTAAGTTCCCTTTTCAGTTCTTCTAAAAGTGGAGCCATTTTAAACAGTTTTAAACAACCACCCAATTAATTTTAGTCATTCAAATATAATAACCAAAAATCCAGAAATCATCAAGTAATCCAAATAGTCCCAAGTTATTTCTTCTTATTTCTTTTTCCACTTTCTCTTCCTGGGGTTTTTGTTGCAATATTTCAGTTAAAATGTATCTTTTGGAAGTCTTGTTGAGATTTTGCTGTAAGTTCTTTTTAATTCCAGGCAGTGTCCTCCCTTCCAGATCCTGCCCTTTTATTGTTTTCCTTTCCTTTCCTGTTTTCAAAAGCTTTTGATTATCCAGAAATTTTTATTATCCCTTTGACATTTTATTTTCAGCATTAAATGCCTATTAATGTCAAAGTGGATTTTTTTCCAATTTCTTGCTTAAGTCTCTTAGCTTAGTATAGGAAAAGGAGAAAAAAAAACCCAAATCTTTCCCCTTTACTCTCTCCTTCGCAGCTTAAAAATCTTCTTAGGGAACAATGTTATTGTTTTTTTTAATCGTTTCAATTCCAAGGTACCTTATTTGTTGCTTTTGCTGTTTGACCCAGTCAACCAAAACTTTATCTTCTTATCTTTCTCCTGCACATTCTTTTCCGGTTGAGTTCTTCTTTGTGGTGGCCATTTCTGACCACCACTGCAACCACCTTCGGGATAGGGAGTAATGGCCAGCTGGGGAGGAGAGATGTGGCTCTCCTCAACCCTGCAGGCAGTCTCCTCCTTCTTCACCACCTCTGCGGGTGGCTTAGTCCCAAAACCAGCCAGCTCAGGGCGCTCCAGCAGCGAGCACGGATTGAAGCCTCTCAGAGATGAGGTTTCAGTCTGTCACCAAAGAAGCTCAAACTGGAAGTCCCATCTTAACTTCTTCAAGCAGGCAGGGAATGTCACTAATGTAGTAGCTAGGAAAAGTTCCCTTAATGGCAGGTATAGTCACTGTTATCCTTATTTTACATTTTGCAAAATTGTGTATCCTGCTTCTTTTGTTTGAATGTGAACTGCTCAGCAGAGAATTGTTTATTCAAGATGGCAGGATGGTGGCAAGCATTTGCCAGGTGCTTGAACAGGTACATTGATAGGCAGACAGACTAATAAATCTATGAGCCAGCATTATGTAAGTAAGGAAAATGAAAACAACACTATCTATTTGAAAGGGTGGTTTGCTCACTTTTGACATCCAAAAAACTTCTTCATTCTAGATCAAACTTTCTTGCACTGTGTTAATTCAATACCACCCACATGAAGCAATAACAACGAATATGTGATAGAGATAAGATAAGCAATATTTTCAGATCAATAAAATGTGCGGTACCACATACTTTTTCTGCAGTTGCTTCTGACCACCTGTTTCCAATTTGATGGAAAACTAATAGTTTCAATTTTTTCAAAGAAAAGGAAGAACATAACTGTGAAATTCTCCGAGGTGGAACAAGATTGAACTTACCTTAATAATGAAGCTACCAAGGGAGATGTGAATGTACTCCTTTGCTATACAACCATCTTTCCAGCATCAGCAGCATCTCTGGCTTCTCGTGCTTCAATTAGATCCCAAAGGAAAACTTCATGGAGGACTCATCCTATAAGGCATTTTCAGATCTCTAAGCAGGAGAAGCCAGCAAATCTGCAGAGCAATGGAGAGATGTGTAACTGGAAAAAAGAAACATATGTAATCTTTGTTACTTTGTGCTACATTTTTTTTTGTTAAAAACCACTTGAACCAATTTGAAAGCATCCTGGGAAGGTGATTTAAGAAAACAGATTTTTTTCACAAGAAAGGAAAGCCTATTAAAAAAATTCAAATACAAGTTCAATAAGCACAACTATTAAGTAAAATATTGGTATAAAGAGAAAGATATGGAAATGTATTCATGAAAAATGAAACTAAAATGATCTATCCTTATTGAATCAAATAATAAATTTTGTTCCAGTCAATACTTTAATGTTTTGTCTTATCAGACATCTGGAAAGGGAGGATTTATATTTATTCTAACAAATGAACCAAATAAACAATCATTTACTTATTCATTTATTAAATGTATATGCTGCTCATCTTGTCCTGAAATAATAGATTATACTATATATCAAAAAGGTGAAAAGAGAAAAGAAAACTGAACTGAAAATGCAAAGAATGGAATGTTAAATATGTTGATTGGAATTCATATTTTAGAATTTCACTCCAAAGTAGCACGAAAATCCAACAAGCACCTTCCAGGTATTAGATATCTATTAGAATTATGTCTAAGGTGATTGACTTGTCAATGAATGAAATAATTTGATTTAAAAGTTAGATTGGCACTGATAGCTCACATGTTTTAACTCACAAGATGGTCAACAGTCTTGGACATGTTTCAGTGTGCTTGAGGCAATATTGAAATAAGGCAGTATTGAAAATACAGCTTCTTCTGTGATCTCTCTTTAAGGTTATAATGGGGCTGGGGAAAAGAGGTTGTATCAATGTACTTCTATTTGAGAAGCAGGGGAGTGTTTTGTACTCAGCACAAAGCTTCTGAAGCTCCTTTAAGTGGAGCAACTCATGACAACCACATGAAGATTTCATTTGTATTCCCTTTTTGCATGCCCAGGGCAGCCAATCACTTCAATGTGATATGTTCTTTTCTCAGGTGAATTTCCTCTTAATAGCTTTAAAGAGATTTAAGGAGTGGATTTCAGCAGGTGAAATTATTCGGGCTTTTATTTCCTCTTGAAATTGCTCTAGGATCTAAATAATTTAACCAGTATAAAAGCAGTGTGGCTATAAAAATAAAATGCACAATGTACAGATCCTAGGCTCTGAAAGAAAAATGACTCTTTTTAACTCAAATGTATAAACTGCTCAAATTTGCAAGGCCAAGTCAATTCAGAATTTTGTCTGTACAGTTCGATTAGCAATTCCTTGAAGTTTTGATGGATAAAGAAAAATTAAGGTATTTGGCTTGGTAAATACTCAGGATTTGGGGCATTATTGACCTTAAAGATTCTTGTATACTTTATATAAATATGGTCACCACCAGCAGAAAACATTATTTAGAAATGTCTAAATAATGACCTAATAATGATGAAATATGTTATTACTTGTATTTCCAGGACTTCATCTCAAAATTATGTAAAATGTAACCTGGGAGTTTTTCAAGAAAGGTGTGATATCAGTTTTATCAGAAATCAGATGTTCAAGTTACAGCAGTTCTACTTCACAAACAGTAATTCTGTAGTTTCTAAAAGCTATGCTTCATTATCTTTCTGTCTCAAACATATATATTTGTCAATCAGATGCATAAAGACCATCATTCATCCTACATATCCACATAAAAAAGGTATATTAAATTCATTGTTCCCAGTTATATAAATTCTGATTAGGAATTTTTCAAATGTGATATTTAATACACATTCAAATATATAGAAACAAATATTATACTATCCCTCAACTAAAATAATTCCATCAATGTACTTGTATTGTTAAATACTGAGCAAACTCTTAAGATTAAACTATCTTTTTTTTTTCAATTCTTCCAGTAACATTACTATATCATTGCCTCACAATCATATCAATATAAATAAATGTCCATTGAATATATAGAAATGAATATAAAGTCCTCAAACATAAAACTATTTCTTCCTTCTGCCAGAGAAACAAGAATTTTAATTTAACAGCATTATCTTGTCTTTCTACACAGGAAATAGAACTATTATGTAGCACTAAACTATTCCTAAAATATACAAGCAAAGGCAGAGTTGCTTCTACATGTTTGTAGCAGATAGCCTTATTTTAATTATATAAACAATAAAAGCCACTGGCAGAATGATTCAGGGTCACGAGGAAAATAGAAAGCCCCTCTTTATAATGAATATGAATACAAGTTCAACAATCATCTATCTGAGATACTTTAATTTGTACCACTGCACTGAAGAGAAGTAGGTTTGATAGGAAAAATGCTCCCTCAGAACTTGATGATTCTGTGATAGAATCACTTAATGCAGGGATCTTCAAACTTGACAGCTTTAAGACTTGTGGACTCCAACTCCCAGAATTCCTCCTCTAATCAAGGCTCCAGTCCAAATATTACATCGATGGTATCAATGCTGTCATGTAGTGGAAACATCTGGCTCTGATGTCTCAGTAAAACAATAATTGGGCTCTGATGTCTCAGCAAAATAATAATTGACTATAAGCCCCCCCTCCCTCCTGATTATTATCAGGTAAAAATTGCCACCCCTAAATCTTTCCCAGTTGGATCTTCAGCTCCTTCTGAGGAGGCTAAATCTTTTAATTCTCCATGGCTATTGCACACTCCCCTAATGCAAATATTAAAGGAACAATTAGAAAAAGGGGGAGATTCAAGCTAGAAACCCAGGACAGAGACACATAAATTTGTTTAAAAATTTTATTTTTAATCTTTTTAATTGTTTAAAGCTTAAAATAATAAGAACAATGGATGTAACTAGAATGCAGGCAACTGCTCTCTTCTGATGCACTGGATGGCAGAATTGAATGCAGAAGGCATGCCCCATTGAGTTCAATGGTCTACAGTTAGCTTTGCTGTTCAGAAGCATGGAACAAGACACAGATCTGTGTTTAAAATAGAGCCCCTCCATAAAGTACATTGGGGCTGATCAAATAAAATATGGATGATTTATGCTATTATATATGGTAGAAAGAACTAAGAGAAGAAGAAAATGTTTACTATTCTTTTCAGGATGTGATTTCCATTAAAACATCTTAGATGTGTATGTATAATAATGTATAATAATTGCATGCAGTATAGAGCTTAGTTGTGTATGTATAATAATGTAAAATAAGTGTATGTAGAATTGAATAGGCTTGAATTAAAGAAAAATTTTCTTTACCTGGTGTATAGCCCTAATTCCTTTACCTGGGTATAGCCCAATTGGAATTGCTGCAGCTCAAAATAAATTAATTGTAACATGTTTAGCAGCTAGAGAATTAAATTGGCTTTTTGGATTGGACTTAGAGGTATGGGAAGCAGACAGACAGTGGTTTGGGCCCATAATCGCCTCCTGAAAATCTAAAGGCAAACAGGTTGACATTGATAAAATATTTCTGTAAATCAGAGAGCATAGCTGTTTTTAGGATTTAACTATATACACTTGTTTGTCCCTCGTGTTATGTGATTGTTGCTGCTAAGCTGAGCGCAGATCCCATATGAGGAGACTAAGTTCCTTTCCCATTTCCTTTTGCTGTTTAAGCAGCCATGTCCAATTTCATATTCTTATCGGCAGCATTGAAAGGAAAAGGGATGATTGAGAATTATGTACTAGATACAACAGTGCTCTAAATTGTCAGTAATCTATATTCAGGAGATTTCTTTCCTATACACAAAAGAGAAAGGCTCTACATTTGATCACTGACAAAAATCTTAAGAAGATACATGATAATAGAAATGTGTGCATTTCCCTAATCAGAGTTATTATATCTAAAGAGCCCTTGGTGCTTTCTAAGCTTCATTGTTTACTTGCAGCCATTTCATTGCCCAATTGGGTAACATCACAAGTGCTAGTGAGTGTGGAATTTGCTCTCTGTTTTTATCTTATTCTTCGTCTATTTCTTCTTTCTGTTTTATATCTCTTATATTGGTTATCTACCTCAATGTTTTTGAATCTCATCAACTTTAAGATAGGAGGACTTCAATTCCCAGAATTTCCCAACCAGCATGTTGACTGGGGCAATTCTAGGAATTGAAATGCATACATCTTAAAGTATGCTGGGGTTGAGAAACATTGAACTAAGTGAATAAACAAGGCATCCCTTTTATAGAATGAATAGTCTCAATGAATGACATTTTACATGATGCAAGCACCTGAAACTTCAGGTTATAAAACTTTACAAACCTACTAGTTCTATCACAATTGGGCATCTTTAGTTCCTATTGGTTCCAAAGGATTTATACATGTAATAAGTGGTGCCTCTGAAACTGAACGGTTTCTTACATGCATTCTCTTTAGATGGAAGGCATCTCTTTTGCATTTGGCAACCTGTCTGCTAATTCCTTGAATTCAGTTTAGGGCTTTTGCTCCCTAATCTTCTCTTGCACTACGGCAATAACAAATGTCCAAATTAAAATTATGGAACAGAGTATTTATCTTTGATTGAATCATTCATCTTTTGAAAATTGCATTTTAGTCACAGCTCTCATAATGTAAATAAGGCCTTTATCTCATTTCTGAAAGCCATTGTATTCTACTTCCATTGCTTACCCATCACCGCCAACTATCTCAAATAGTTATATCTGTGGTAGAATGCACTTTTAGGCAACTACATGAAAATATGTAAGTTTCTTCTTCATCGATGACTTTCTTAGAATATTTTAGCATCCACTGTATAAATTATGAAGTCTTGCTTGATTTGGAACATGGTTGTTGGTTTATAAACATTTCCTTACCCAACTAAATAACATGAGTGATACATAGAGGGGAGTTTGTCCTGCCACTTTTGATAGCTGTGGTTCCCCCCCACCCTTGGTAGTAGTTCCTTGATTAAGGAATTGTTTTCTCCTTGTTTTCCTGAGGTTCATCCCTGCTTGTCTAGATGCTGGCTTCTAGGAGAGGATGTGTTTTAGTCTTTTTGTTTCTTTTAGATTTTATTGTCTCTTTTCATTTGGGTACAAATCTCATTTATCTCTCTGTGTTTACAACTAGCTGATTTGTCTGAATGCCAAAACTCCAGGAATTCACTAGAATTTTTGGATTTAGCTTAATCTAGGATGCTTACAGTTTCCCAGTTGGAACTATGGTTGAATCTGTCTATGAATTGTGAGATTGAGTTTTTATCATATCTCCTGAGTGCTAGTAGTTCATGGAACTGCTCTACTAGTTTTCAGTCTGTCTGCTCTACATGGTGGTGGTTAGTTATAGTGCTTACATTGCATGTTGTAATGATTCCTGTTTTTTAAAACATTTCCTATTAAGCAGGGATTTATAGGAAATATACCCCATACTTAGTCACGCTGATGATGTCACTCAGTTGGAACTCCACAGTTCAACCTTGTGTGCCATGTATTCTCTTTCTATATGGAATAATACAAATTCTCAGATTTTTCAATATCTACAACTTAGTAACTGAACAGTCAAAGAGAGACATCTCACTTGCATGATTGAGAATGTTCCTTGGTGACCAAGTTGGTACCAATCAACAGTGTCCTGGTAAATAAGAAATGTAAAAAAATCTAAAATTTCTCAAGAAAATATTCACATATGTATTGGTTCCAGCATAAATTAGGATGACTAAAACCCAGAGCTCAGAACAAAGTTTATTCTCAGTGATTTGCTTATGTGTGATGGAAGATAGCATATCCTGCAACGTGGAGTAAAGGGAAGAGAAAAGAAACTAAGCAACAGTGATTTATGCTCTCATCCTAGGATTATTAGGTGCAAATTTAATCATTGTGGAATCTTCATGACCCTTCACTCATGTCAAGATTTACAAGTTAGAAGATAATATCATATATTATATTCAGTGAAGGCACTAAGGTCAAATGCTTCATCTCTGAGTGTTTTAACTTAGGCATTCACACTTCTAGTGATTATAATAATTAAAATTAAATACCAGTTTATCTAGCTGTGGATTTATTTCAGTGATATTTTCAGTAACTTTTCTTTTTTGTATCTACTGTAAAAACTGTATCAGAGTCATTTAGATTATTCTGATTCCCTTAAACTCTTAGAGATTTATGACTCATGAATGCTTTAGATCAGGGCTGTCAAACTCACGGCCAGTGGGCCAGATGCATCACACACTGGCCAAGCCCCCGCCCAATTTAGCAAAAGGGAAAAAGTCCCAATACATCACATGATGCCACCACGACAATGCAAGTTTGACATTCCTGCTTTAGATTATCATTAGCATCTACAGCACTTAATGCTCTGCTGTTGCGGTGTGGGGGGATGAGAAAATTGATCTTATTCAAAACTGGATGGTCACGTATATTTTGTCTCAACTGTGCTTTGCTTCTTTTTGACCTCTAAGGGTTGAGCCGTTAATTGAAGAAAAAAGAATCAGGATGATACTTTGATAAAGTTCTGTTCCTTAACTACACTTTCTGCTGCCAAATTAGCTTTAAAATCTGAGGTCGATGGAGAAAGAAGAGACAAGTAGAAAATGGCATAGGAGACTAAAAGGAGCCAAATTCAAGATCACCTGGATTTATGTGACATTAATTGCAGCAACAGGGCACATGGGACTCTCTCCAAAGTCCTTCCTAATGTTAGTACCAAATTATGGGTTTAAAAGGGGAGCTAAGTAAATGCAATTAATCAGTACCAAATGAAGTTATCTTCTGTTTGGGAGCCTACCACTAGAAAGCCAAGGATAATCCTACCAGGTCATGTACTCCAATCTTAATTATTCTGATTATTGAGCATACTTGGCCTAACTAAATACCTAACTAAGGCTTCTTTAGTAGCAGGATGTGGAAAAGCAGGCTGCTTAGAAAAACTGCAGGCACCCATGTGCTGCCTTCTTCCCCTCCCATTTGATTCATTTCTCTAATGCCAGCATAGCAGAGTTGTCCATAAAGCAGCAACCTTAACACAGGTGTGGTTATCTCTGCACCAGAACAAATTGAGAAAACACCACCCAAATACAAGAAGCCATTTTTCCTTCAAAGGGAAAGGGTGCACCAGAAGGTAAAGAAATACAGAGGTACAGCTAAGGAAAGCACAATGTACTCAGGTACAAGTCCTCCACATGCTGACCAATAACAGAAAACAAAAACAAAACAAAACAGAAGAAATTGCAGAGAAAAGATTTAAGGCAGACAGCAAGACAGGGTTTGTAAGAAGGAAACTTTGCTAGTGCTACTATAGAGAGTATTATAATAGTACTAAATATGGTGATGATAATTGAATAGTTATACTACACAATGTAGTAAGGAGAAACATTGCAATAGTAATTGAATAGTGGTATAACAGGGTATAGTGATTGTTGCATAAATGGTAATTAGCATAGTAATACAGTAATAGCAATTAGAACACTATATAATAGAGATAATAGAGAGCACTGATATATATTTGCATGTTTCACATTTTAATTTTTATATCTTAATTTTTCAAAATAAAACATCTTTCTGATCCTTATAGGAGATATAAAAGCATACTTGTCCAAGGTGCAGTGATTTTGTGGTTCCTCTGTGCCTGTATTAATCTAATTGGTCCAGTTTAAAAAAGACCCATCATACCAAGAAACCCTAAATCTTATTATAATTATGCCAGACCAACGTTAGTCGATAAAATCATTTGCTTGACAACTCTCATCTCACTAGTTTAAAAGGTATTGTAGTCACAAGCACAAAAATGCTCTGAAATTTAATTGATGATAAATTTCCTGCTAGGCATAGCTTTTACATTTTTTTTTCTTTTTGATGTGCGACCCATCTTTATGGATTATTCTCCAGGCAGCTCTAGAATAACATCCTTCTGAACAACTGGGACTAGCTCAAAGAATTAATGAATGTTCAAATGTCTTGTTTGAAGAAATACTGTAGGAATGATAAATTATATTGTACACATACACTTTTCAGCTGTCTTTGGGCCAGTGGTCTTGTACAGTTATGTGCAT